GAAATAGATTAATACTAAATGAAGTATTAATTACCTGCTTCCTTCAGAAGTTTGAGACCAAGCTTGGCTTCCTCCAGAGGAAGGACAAAGGAGGTTTTTGCGGTGTGTTAACAAAACCCGCACTTATAATTACATTTGCGCGTGAAGTGATAGTTGACGCTTGTTGGGGTGGTCGCGTTTGGGTCCTGGGCACTGTTGACATCAGGGACAAGCAACTTTACGCCCTCCTTGCAGGTTCCTCTGGTCCAGAACCGAAGCTGGGAACGGATGCTGATGAAGACCGAGAGGACGGTGCTGATGCAGAGCTGCAGGATCACCTTCGGGGACCCGATGAAAGTAGAGAGAAGCATCTTTAAACCAGCAGGTGTCCGGTGTTGCTTGTGTTTGGGCTGCTTTGGATGCAGGCGGAGGCGGTGAGACGGCACCTTAAATAGTCCGCCCAGAGCTTGTCAGCTGATAGGCGCACAAGTTTCTGTTTACATGCATGGAAAACAAAACTGCACATTTCTCTAGAAACTGCTATTAGATTGGTTAAACACGCCCCGAATGATGTCACTGTACAACTATGCAGAGCAAACGGGACAGGTGCAGTTAAGAGTTTGGTAAACAGAAATAAATGCGCAAAATCTAATCTAATCTAATGTTAGTGCAAAGTGAAGAAACATGCGTGCTTGTTCTTGGAGCAAACATTGTTTTATGTAGCTACAGTTAAAAAATAGCAGGAAAAAAACATCATCATAAAAGAGCACATTATGTCATTTGAAAGACAGTTGTAAATTTTTTTTAATTTCCTGTAAAGTTTTTTATTTATTTTATTTTTAAATCTTAACTTTGTGTCTGAGAATGTTGCTTTTAAAATATGATGCGTTCAATATCCTTGCTGCGTCGCGAGTCTGAGTTTATTCCCAGGCCACATAACAATAACTCTAAGGAATCACTTCTCTGGAAACTTGGTTAAGTTTCGTTTTCTTTTCTGCGCAGTTGGTTTCGTTTTCCCGCGCCCTGCACAGGAACAGCTTATATTTATGTAACGCCCCCGTCTCGCTGATAAGAATCAGGAACTCATAAACCGCGTTGTTTTATTTTATTTTTTTCTTTATTTCTAGGGAGTGAAGAAGAGGGATCATGGCGACACGTTTGAAAGACCTGACGTCTGTTTTCGCGCGGTGGTCCTGCCGCGTGTTTTCAGCGGAGCTGGACGGAGCGCCTTTTTATTTCGGACTTCAGGAGAAGCGCGCGGAAAAGCCGCCGCTGGCTTTCTCCAAACTCCTGGAGGGGAACAAGAAGCGCTGCTACTCCCTCCTGGTCTGCAGCAGSGACAGGGTCAGGAGAGAAAAGTTTTACTGGGAGCTGAAAGACAGGCTGCTGAGAGACTTGCCTCCGGGCTCCGATTTCACCAACATGCTGTCGTTTCTTCCCGATGCTAAAAARTCTCTGATCAAGGGTTATTTCTTAAAGAGCAACTCCGAGAACTCGTCCCGGATAGAGAGCCTGTTGGGGCATTTAGAGCAGCATGAGCCGGTGTTAGTGTGTTCATATTCCGGGGGGGAAGGCGATCAGCAGTGGACTCAGCGTGTGTGGACAAACACAGGGAGCGAGCTGATGGGGATGAGTAAATTCTACGTGGTGCCGGCAGCAGCGCCAACATGTCACCCATCTGTGCTCAACATCATCAACTCTGATGTCTTCTACAGCCTTGATGAGGCCTGTGACGTTTTGGAAAAGGTCCGTATGACGCAAAGTGTCAACCGTTTTGAAATAAAAACAGCACCGGGGCTACCACATTTGGGAAAATGTCTCCCTCGTATGGGGAAAGAGGGTGTTGCAGTTTGAACACTCAAAACGCTTTCTGCGCGTGTTTCTGTTAGCAAAATAAGTCATTAATAAGAGAACGAATTATATTGAAACTTTCAGAAAATAATCATTCAATTCACAGTAACAACTGAATAACTGTTGGAGGCAATCCAGCCGAAGATGCCCGCCACAGCAAAGCATTTTTAGCAGACACAAAAATAGGTATAACTCGACTAGTTATACAGATATTAATCTAAAATTCAAAGTGATGGTGGCTGAGACTGATCTCCAATGTATAGTCTAAGCACTAACTTATCACGCAAGATATTTATTTAAAACTTTGCCTTCAACTGTTGCACTCAACTCTGTCTGCTTGTTAGTAAAATATTTCATGAGACACAAGTTGGATTTTTAACAAAACCTCCAGAAAGTCATTAACTGATGCACTTTTACAGCTGATTAACTTTTGGACTTAAAACATTTCAAGGTGGCAACCACAGCCTACAGACCCAAGAAAACAAAACTAAAAGAAATGGTTACAACGCAGACAGTGTTACAAATTTTGAGGTAAAATTGAGTGGTAGTAGCTGAGTCATTCTCAACAAATACTCCATGCGCTAACAAACTGTGTAACATGTTGCAGTATTGCATGAGATTTCACATAATGTAATTCTCTTTGACTTACCTGTCATTTRTCAACATAAGATCTTGGTGCAAAACACGGCTATGACAGGCGGCAGGTGATGTGAGTTCCTTCAGGGAATGCTAGGCCTTTTAATTGATCTAACTGTGCCAGGTGGTCCAGAAGCATTGTGTGTGTGCATGTGTTTGTGTGCGCCACACCGTCTGACTCCCTCCATCCTCCTGTCTCGCAGCAGCAAACTGACTCTGCCTGTTCTGCAGTGTGGTGACATCATCCCAGAGAGCACGTCCGTGCTGAGGATGCTTCCCGGCAGAGCGAACGCCAGAGGAAAACCAGACTTCCCTGTTATTGTCATCGAGGGCCTGGATGCTACAGGTTAATGCCATTTCCTTAWAAATAAATATGGGATTGCTTTGATGCATAGATGTTGGCTGAAGTGACGGCTGCTTGTTCTCTGCTAAAAACATTATCTGCCAGTGAGCTTGGCCTAATGGGGTATCATGTATTGTGAGCTCAGAAACATTACATCACAATGAAAATGGTTTATTGAATCTGCTCGATCGTGCAGTGCTTCTTAGAAACCTCAGGAGGACGACACCACACAGGGTCAGATAGGAGCGTWAGCTGAACATTTCAAGTGTTACTTCAGTTCTTTGRTCCATTCRATAGAAACATGAAGGAYTCTTTGCTTTCGTGTTTATAAAATGCTCCCTGTGATCATTTTGCCCTCATAGGTAAAACTACTCTCACGGAGTCTCTAAAYGATGCTCTCGGGGCCACCCTTCTGCGGTCCCCTCCCCAGTGCCTGTCCCCTTGGAGAGCCCGCTTTGATCAGGAGCCTCCCCTCATCCGCAGGGCCTTCTACGCTCTTGGGAACTACATCACCGCCGAGCAAATAAGCCAAGAGAGCATGAAGGCGCCCYTCATTGTGGACAGGTGAGAGTTAGAGGAGATGTTGATTTGATTTGATTTATTTATTTAACAGGAAAAGATTYTTAAAAATCAAGCCTGACTCAGCATAATTGRTGTTTTACAGCAGGTTCCTTTTCTGCAGCACATAAACGCTCAGAATTACAGCATCACAATCACATCATTATGCACCATAGACACAAAGACAAACAAGCATCCCAAATTTCAAAAAGGCAGCATTTGCAAAATAGGACGCCTAAATATGAGCACAACAAAAAGTGTCCAGCAGATGGCAGACAAGATTCTTCTTAAAGGGCTGTAGTTTTGAAATGGACTTTATGTTTTGAGGAATGTCATTCCATGCTTTAGTATAAACATAGAAGAAAGACCTRTGYCCGTAACAGTTTTTAATAGTTGGTAATATCAGTTGTCCTTTTGTAACAGATCTAGTTGAATGACCACTTCCAGAATTTGATTTGGGCAGCAATGCACAGAGTGTTCCATAATTGGCACCTTGGAAGATCTGAAAATATAAATTAATACCACTATACAAAACATAATTCTGAAAAGTCAAGGCATCAGACAATGAAAGAACCGTACAGTGATGAGACATTGTTGGTGATGTGGTGGCTCGTTGTTTTGCAGTCCTGTTAGAAGTTGTGGATCCCGAGATCAAGACCTGAACCACTCGATATTTAATACAGCTCTAATCATCAGATGGAATAGTTTTTGTGCTGCATCGCCTTTTTGGAGGAAAATCAAAACTTCAGCAACCCCCTCGACTCAACAAAAGTCAAACTYAATCAAGTTTACCTGTAACTGAGAGAAAAAATATCAACAACTCTAGATTTACACAATAAAAAAAATCTCTGAGTTGCCYTTGTTTCGAGTATTTTRATTTTTATTTTCCTGAAAGATTAAAAACTGGTTGCTTCTGAGTGGCAAAGACCAAACATTAGTTGCAATCGTTTAGGCCTGAAAATGAGAACAAGAACTAYTAGTAGTCACACACTTACTGTTTGAGAACGACTTCTTCTGCCTTCTATCCATCCTTAGATTTTGGCACAGTACAGCAGCGTATGCCATTGCCACGGCAGTGAGTGGTTCAGTCAGTGAGCTCCCTCAAGACGGCTCTGAGGTGTATCYCTGGCCCAGTGACCTCCTCCAGCCCAGCCTGGTGGTCTTACTCTTCCTGGACCCCGAGGAGAGGAAGAGGAGGCTGAGGGACAGAGGCCTAACAAAAACAGATGAGGAAGAAGAGCTGGATCACAACCAACTCTTCAGACTGAGGTAAATTAGCTGGAGCACATGAAGAAAATTTTGAATCTACCCATACCACTTTAAATGAGTGGAAAACAGCTAAATGAATATTTACATACCCAATCATTTGGGAATTAGACGAAAATATTCACTAAGAATCAAACAAATTTATTTAATCATGCTAACAAATTGTTGGCATTTGATTTTCTTGTAATCAACTAATGTCTTTTAATCAACAGGTGTTTGGCTTTAAGGCAGGTACTTGTATAAAGCAGGTAAAAATTTAGTCAGTGATTCGATTCGAATTGTCTTAAAGAGTTTTTTTTTTCAATTGACATGGCAATTCTTCAAATATATTACATTATAAAACAGATGTTGGATCAGAAAATTTAAGGAAAATGTGAACGTTTGAAATTAAAATGATTATTTTATGCAGTAGCACTTAAACGGGGCGGAGCTAGACTATTTTGGAAGGGATGGTACAGGTGGGACATACAAATAAAAAAAGGCACTCTGGATTTGAAAATTCAAGATTGATTTATTTATTTATTTATTTATTTATTTATTTATTTATTTACTTATTTATTTATTTTTGTGTGTACAGTGCCCTGAGACAACAGTTGTTGTGGCTTGGTGCTATATAAATAAACTGAATTGAATTGAATTGAATTGAACTGAATTGAACTGAATTGAAATTGA